AGGGTCAGGCTGGGATGGCAGCTTAGGGTCTTGCAGTGGGGGGCACTGGGAAAGTGGGCATGGTGGGCAGCTCTGCCTGCACCATCTTGGACACGGCTTGCTTTCCTTCCAGGGGTGAAGAGCGTCACCAAAATCTACAACTACTACAAGAAGTTTGGCTATAAGACCATTGTCATGGGTGCCTCCTTCCGCAACACAGGCCAGATCAAGGCACTGGCGGGCTGCGACTTCCTCACCATCTCGCCCAAGCTCCTGGGGGAGCTGCTCAAGGACAACGCCAAGCTGGCACCTGTGCTCTCAGCTACAGCGGGTAAGGCCTGGTGCCTGGCTGTGGTCACTGTGTAGGTGAGGCTGGCATAGCCCTGCCACTCTGCCCCCTGGGGTGATACTGAGGACCCTCCCATCCATGGGGCGAGCTTGCTCAGGAGACAGGGGAGGCTGGGCAGAGGGCTTGGTTTTCCTAATGCATCTTGCTCAGATCATTGGCTATGTTGCTCCAGGCCCAAGTCCCACCTCCAACATGAGTCTTGTGGGGCTAAAGGCTGGCCCTGGTGGGAGATGCCAGGCACAAAGGCCCAGGGACAGCTCTGAGCCTGGGGGGCTGGGGTGGGCGTGGCCGGCAGTGGTGCACGTCTCCCTCAGCCCAGGCCAGTGACCTGGAGAAGACCCACCTGGATGAGAAGGCCTTCCGCTGGCTGCACAACGAGGACCAGATGGCTGTGGAGAAGCTCTCCGATGGGATCCGGAAGTTTGCTGCCGACGCCGTGAAGCTGGAGCGGATGCTGACGGTGAGTGTTCTGCATGGGCAGCCACAGGCCTCATTTCCGTGCTGCCCAGCAAGGGGCCTGCCTGGGACAGGGCACTTGGAGCCCAGTGGTGTTCCTGGGACTCAGTGGGTCCTGGCTCCTCTCTGGCCTGTGTGATGACCACTTGTGGTGCAGTCCCCTGAGGCCTGTCCCAGGCCTCTGCATGCAGGGCCGACCATGTGGCTCTCATCCCATGCTTGTTTCCAGGAGCGCATGTTCAGTGCAGAGAACGGGAAGTAGCGCAGTACCTGAGGCTGGAGCACACCCGTGCTGTCTTCACGTTGGGGCCTGATTGCACACAGCTTGTGATGAGTCTTGCATTGTTTTTACCCATTGGAGCAGGGGACAGATCATGGATTCCTAATTTTATGTAAAATTTTGCCTAATGCATTAAAGCAGTCACTTTTCTTGTGCTCCGTGTCATTTTGCTGTCTCCATCCCCTCAGCATCAGCTGCCCCAGCTGTTGGCTGTGACCTGGATTGGGACTGGGAAATGGGGGTCAAGAGCCCCATGAGGGCCCTGTCAGGGTGACCAGGCAGTTACAGGCTTTGTCTTAGCATGCATACTGCCCGCCCCACCACTGGGCTGCAACCTGGGAACCCAGGCCAGGAGGCCTTTGGCTTTGAAGGTGGGGACCTGCTGGGCATTTGCTCTGTGGCTGGCATCCCTGACACACCCAGGCTTGTGGGGTGCACTGGTGGAGTTGGGGGCAGAGGGTGGGCAGGTGCGATGCCTGTGGAGAGACAAGCGGCCCCAGGCAGTGCCTTCCACAGGACCCAGGTTCCTGTGCAGGGTAGTGGCGCCCCCTTGTGGGAACAGCACAGCACACACAGATGCCAGTCTGAAACCCAGAGGGTGAGGCGTGGCCCACTTTGCAAAGACACTTTTATTGCCCCAGAACTCTGTGTGCCACGGGCTGAACTGGGAAGGGCTTGCTGGAGGTGGTGGTGGAAGGTCCACGGGGTGGCCTCTGTTCTAGAGACACTACAGGGCAGGTGAGGGAGGGGCACACAGTCAAGGTCAGACTTCCTGGGGCATGGGGGCTCCAGGTCCCTCATCTGCCCAGCCTCCCAGGTGTGGACAGGGAGTGCCCCAGGCCCCCTAGAGGCCAGCAGGCACACACACACACACACACACACACACCCGTCCAGGGTACTCCCTCCCTCCTGTACTCCCTGGGTGCCCCTCAGCCTCACATCCACCTTGAGTCCCCCATTTGCTGGGTCTGGAGTACCTGGGAGGGTCTGGAGTGGTGTCCCAGCCCCCTCCCCAAGTGCAGGAGCAGTTCTGGCTCACAGGAGGTAGCTCCAGCTTCTCCCCAAACCCACCAAGAGCTGTTCCACCTCAGACCCAGGCATCTGCCTGCCCTGGTCCCCCGTGCAGGGTGCTGAGTGGGGCAGCCTTGGGGCAGAGCAGCAGGCGGGGATGGCACCTCCTGCCCCGCCGGCTCAGTCTAGCTAACCTGCCACTGCCTCTTGGCCAAGGCCTGTACAGGGATCCCCACCACTCTCAGGCCCAGATCACACCAAGGCCTGCTGGGTAACGCTTTTTGAGGCTGGGGTACCCCAGAGCATAGTGGGCAGAGCCTTCTGCACACACCCTGCCTCTGCTGGGCCCCCTCACCCTCAGCAGGGGTGAGCCAAGTCTTCTCACAGGAGCCCAGACCTCTCACCCTGAGCTGCTCAGCGGGCCGTGTCCTAAGGGGACGTCAAGGGTCTCTGGCTCCCAACCTCGACAGCACCAGCGTCTGCAGAGATGGAGGCCAGCTCTGGGTGCCAGAGCACTTTGTGGCTATAACTCACAAAGCCTACCCACTTGTGGTAAGAATCAACAACCTTGGTACGTGTCAGTTGTGCATGCCCGTCTGCCCCTACCCCCACCTGCAGACAACCACCAGGCCACTGCCTGAGACCCTCATACTGAGACCTGTGTGAGGGGCTTCTCTCAGGTGATGTTTTGAAGACCCACTCATGTTGTACAGTCTATCAGAACCTCATTCCTTCTATGGCCAAATAATACTCCACTCTGTGGACATCAGCATTACCCATTATTAAAGGACACTCCACTGCTGGTATCAATACTAAAACTACTGGTAATAACATTCCACTGCACAGAAACTACAATTCACCATTCACTACCGTGAATAATTCTGCTGTGGACGTCATGTAGCATTTCTATGAGGCTGTTTCCATTTCTCTCGAGTAGATGAGGAGTCTGTTTTAAAACACGTGGGCATGTGGGGAAATCCTTGCCCACCCTGCTGCTGCCTTTTGGGGGTCTCTGTCCCCCTGCTCTCCTCTTCCTCCGCCTGGGGGGCAGGCCCCTCGTCAGAGCCCACCTCACCACCTCAAAGCCACAGGCGCTTTGGCCTGGAGCTCTGCACTCAAGCACAGACCCGGCCCCTCGGAGGTGCTCACAACTGCTTTGTGAGTCCTTCATGATCTCCCCTGCTGAGGTCTGAGTGTGTCCCCCAAATCCTTTTATGCTGAAACCTGACCCCCAAGTGATGGAATTAGGAGGCAGGACCTTTGGGAGGTAAGTAGGTCATGAGGGTGGAGCCACCACAAAGGGGATTAGTCCTTATGGAGAGGCCCCAAGACAGACCCCCTTCACCCCTTCCGCCACATGAGGACATGGTGAGAAGACAGCCTCCCATGCACCAAGAAGCGGCCCTCTCCTGACACCAAATCTACTGGTGCCTTGATCTTGGACTTCCAGGCTCCAGGACCATGAGAAATAAATTTCCGTTGTTTACAAGCCACCTAGTTTATGGTATTTTGTTGTATCAGCCTGACAGACTAAGACATTAAGGCATGATCTTTATTTTTTAAAACCTAAGTTTCCATCCAGAGACGTCCACAGCGCACCGTGATAAGGGAAGACTGGGACAGACTAAGGCCCCACGGCAGTGCTGAGCAAGCTCCTTCCTGAGCTGGTCTGCAGACACGCGAGGCTGGAAGGACATGGCCTTCAGGCTGGGATGGGGCTGCCTTGTTTCTTTCTTCCACTTGGTTCTGAATTTTCCTCACTGAACAGTTTTATGATCACGAAGGGGCCCACTGGCACCGGGAGCCATGCTGGTGTCAGGGAATGGCTGTGGTTGTCAGTCAAGCCGAGATGGGGAGGAGGGTAGGAGAAAGGGAGATTCAAACTAGGGGATAGGGGACAAGCGAGCCTGAGCCTCCCGGGAGGCCATACTCTGGGGCCAACGGGCAGCTCACCAGAGGGCTGCAGCCCAGGGCAGGTGCCAACTGGCCCAACAGCCACCTCGGGCCCCAGCAAAGTCCTGTCCAAGGCCTGAGAGGCAAGGACTCACTGCCACCTGTGCCAGCACCTCCTACGGGCCAGCAGCTGTGTCTGCTCTTCACAGCAGCGGCTGCTGCAGCCCAGGAGCAGTAGTCTCTTGTGGTTAAGAATCTCATGGCAGTGCACGTGACATTCCCCACTAAACGTATTTCTCCCAGTACTTAGATGGGATGGGGTAACATCACTGTGTCCACCCCAAGGTGCCCCCAGTACCACCCCCAGTGCTTATATGGGGCCTCCATGAGGTTCTGAAACCACGCAGCAGGCAAGAGTTAAATTAGGGCAGATTTTTTCAGCAGGAAAGTGCAGCCAGTACCAGCCAGCTTATGGGCTGGGGGCTGTGGTTACCAGAATATTCCAGTCACTTCTGGCCAGGCAAGAAGTCATGCACAAGCTCCAGCCAGCTGGTCCTTGCACCCGACCAAGGCTAACGGGATGGGCAGGCAGAGGGCAGGCCACAGCAGGACCTGTGAATGTGCTCAGCACTCCAACCAGTTCTCTCTGTAACACTCAATTCGGAATTCCAGAGGACCACCCAGCAGCCGGCGTGGTGCCCTCAGCACCCAGGGGCTTGGTCTCCATTCCCACCAGAGGAGATGCTGGGAATCACGGGGCTTGGCCCCTCCATGAGAGCTGACACCCTTAGGGCTGATTCCTGGAGCCTCCAACAACCCCTTGGGGCCAGGCCGGGTTGTCATCAAGGGGCTCTCGTCAGGAGGAAGGAGGCTGCAGTCCAGCTGCCTCTGGGGATGCCTGGGCTGTCTCGAGGCAGCTGTGTCCACCCAGCAGGCTCATTTCCTATGGACGGTCACTTGGTCAAGGCTTGGGCACCAGCACAAGGGCAGGTCATGAGGCAGGAACCACCCGCAGCCCCTACCCCAGAGTCCTCACCGGCTGCCGCAGAGGAAAAGCAGGTTCTGCACAGCGGCGACAGTGGAGTTGGCGTTCTGGCCCGTGACCAGGTGGCGGTCCAGCACAACGTGCACAGCGTCAGGCTCACTGGCTGAGGAGCCATGAGGGCACAGGCTTCAGGCAGTGCCCCAAGTCCCAGCCCACCCACGGAGAGGGGTCCTGAGCTCTAGGTGGGCTCTTGCGGTCAGCAGGTAGGTCAGCCTGCCTGGGTCTGAGCCACTGGCCATGGGGGCCGAAGGACACACCCAGGAGGCTGGCCTGGCTGACTACCCCCCAGGCTGCAGCAGGCAGCCCTCACCCTGTCTCCTGTGAGTGGGGGGCACCTCCCAGGCTCACCGCTGAAGCAGGCGCCTGAGTCCTTCACGAAGTCCTCCACGATGAGTGGTAGGCGAGAGAAGCCGGGTGCCCTGACGAGCTCGTACACAGAGGGCTGCGGAAGGAACCCCTGAGCCAAGCCCGCCCACCCTGCCCAGCTCCCGCCCTGTCCCAGAGGCTGGCCCCAGGGGCCAGGCAGGTCAAATCAGAGTGGGAGCCTCACCTACCAGCCTCCCACTTCCCTGCTGTGAAAGCCAGCGTCCCCAGGGCAGCAGGCTCTCGGCCATCCCCACCTCAGCCTCTGCACCTGCTGTTCCCACACAGTCCACACTTCGCTGCCCTCAGGCCTCACATCTGTAGGGGCCAATGTCCCCAAGGAAATGCTTCACCAGGCTCTTAGCACCACTTGGCACATGCGAAGGCTGTGGAGTCCCCATCCTCGTCTCAGGCTGTCAAGGGGCAGAGCAGGCGGCACAGAGGACTGCCAGCCTCGGGGGACAGAGCCCTCCATAATGCCTGTCTGGGCAACAATAGTCACCTCCACCTACGGGGACCACAGGCCTGTCCCAGAAGGTCCCCAATTCCTATTACTGCAGGCCACCCTCTTCCCTCAGGACGCATCTTGAACTGGTGCTTCAAGAGTAGGCTCTGGCTTAGGGCCCAAATCCCCTGTACTGATAAGCCACCAAAAGAAAAAAAAAAGGGCCCCCAGCCTGTCCATGCCTCCACCACGGCTTTCATAGGCCTATGCATGACAGACAGCTCTGGTCCCAGGTGCCCCGAGTCACGAGATACATGCTCTCAATTCAAGAGAACAAAGTAGCCCTGGAGATATGGGGACAGCAGGGACATGGTGCCAACGGCCCAGTGCCAAGGGAATCTGCTCCAGGTGGTACCTGACCCAGGACCCTGGCCTCTGCCTGCGAGGTACTCACCCCAGTCAGACTGTATCCACGGAACACCCAGGACCTGTCCTCGCTGGTGGCACAGCACAGGGCAGCAACGCCATGGCCCACAGCACAGATGGGCTCTGAAAGCAGCACCGCAAGGTGGGCCTGAGGCTCTGGACCACCCATGGAGCGCCCTGCAAGCCACCCTCCTCTCTTGGGACAAACCCTGAGGTGTTGCTTCCAAACTAGGCTCTGGCTTAGGGCCCAAATCCCCTCAGGTTTTGGTGCCTGAGAAACATGCACAGCAAAGAGAGTCCCAAAGCTGCTCCAGGTCTGTTCACCAAACCCCAGGACATGACACAGCCACCGCTCCCCTTGACACCGGCTCCAGCTGCACAGCAGAGCCATGGCAACGGCCCTCGGTGGCCTGGCTCCTCCCCAATGGCTGCCTGGCACTGTCCCCACAGCTAGGGTGGCCAAGGACAATTGCTGCCTGTCCAGGCCCAGCTGGGGCGGAAGACCCCACTCCCCTGACTAAGAACACTGTGCCCTGTGTGAGCCCCGCCCATGTGCATCACAGCCCTGCCCTGGCCAGGGGAGCCTTCCTCCCAGCCCCTGCGGTCTCAAGCTCCACACTTGCCCACCAGGCACCAAGCCAGCGCCATGCCTCCCTGCCATGGCGGGGCCATGAAGGCACAGCCACCAGCTCCCTCGAGAGCCACCATAGAGATCATCAGGGCGGTGACCAGATGAGCAGAAAGGGGTGGTCCCTCCCTGGTGCGTGTGGACGGCAGAGTGGTCAGAATCTTTGAGGCTCTCTACACCTGCTCTGTCTGGCTTGTGAAATGACCCAACATTTACTGCCCTCGGTCCTCCCCACACAGCCACTGTGGTGGCCTGGGCAGAGGTCCACAACCCCACCCCTCCCCAAGCATCTTCCCTCCTCTCCTCCGCTGGAGACGCACTTCTTGTGAATGTGCATGTCCACCCCGGCCCCTGAGTCCCAGGGGTCACCTACTACTCTCGGAGTGGAAGTGCTGCAGGATACGGGCCAGCGACCCGCTGCTGGCCAGGTCGGCCAGGGCCCCAGGGCAGCTGGGGATCAGGAGGGCGTGGTACCGGGCACCTGCATGAAGACCACAGACCATGCTTCAATCACAGAGCAATGGCCCCTGCGGAACCAGGCCCAAAGGCACAGCCAGGGCTGATCCTCCACAGGGACCAGCTGGTCTTCTCTCTGCTCTTGCCAGGTGGTATCACCTGGCACTTCTACATGGTTTGCACTCCCGAGGGCCCCGCAGGATTCCTATGGGCCAGCCTGACTCCCCAGTCTCCAGGCCCACCACCTCTCTTCCTCAGAAGAGCTTGGGAACTCAGGAGCCCAGGATGTGGGATGAGGGGCAGCCTTGAATGTTCACAGCTTTGCAGCAAGCCTCAGGGTGGCTTCAGAGCAGAACTAGGGAGCACACTGAAACCCCAAAACCCATGTGAAACCCCTGAGCCCCCAAGGTCTCAAGCGCCCTGTCCCAGCGGAAGGGTATGTCCTCAGGTGGGGAGCGGTCCCAGCCCACCATCGATGGACTCAAGCTTGGCGGGGCTGGCGTAGGCCTTGAGGCGGAAGTCCTGCACCCAGCGCACACTGCTCTCGGTCACGTCCACGAAGTCCATAGCCTTCCCCTGGAGGAGCAGAGCCCGAAGGCCGAGTGTCAGCGACAGGATGTCCCTGCTGAAGGCTCACAGGAGACTGGAAACACTGAGGGCTGTAACCCCATGACAGCCCCTTGGGGCACAAAGGCACTGACAGCCCAGACACCCCCACAGCATCCCCGGGCAGAGGCCTCCCGCGGCCACTGTGCCATAAAGACGAGCCTGTCCCAGCAGCCACCAGGCAGGGCCAGGCACAAAGGACCACAGTTGAGGAGGAACCAGTGGGCCAGACCCCTGTGTGAGCCCAGCGCCATCCCACATCCACATCAGCACACCCTGAGGTCTAGCCGCAGGCTCCACCACACCCCCACTCCCTCCTAGTCCTCAATCTCCTGCCTATAAAGTGGCAGCAACTATCCCACCCACCTTGGAGGTGACCTGGAAATGTGCAAAGGGACACACACAAAAGGCATCCTTGCTGTGACCTATCTACATCTGACACCCCTGGGCCCCATGCCAGAGGGTCGAGAATTCCTCCAGTGGAAACATCCGTGCACGTCCTCACGCTGGGCCTAGCCTCATCTGCTGCTCGCAGACCCACGGGAAGAGTGGGGTCAGAGCCCAGGACTTAAGGAATCTACTGGGGCTTGGCTACAGACCCCCACCCCAAGCCATCTGCCTTGCCCCTAGAGAAGTGGGGACCCTGAGCTTCCAGTGTGTGTGGGGTGGGGGTGGCTGGACTTACCCCTGGGGTGGCTACCTGCAGGTTGAAGGCAGCACTGGCCAGCGTGAAGCAGTGGAGGAAGGACTGGGCAGACACACCTGAAGGAGAAAGTCCCTGGTGGGTGTGGGCATGACAACAAAAGTGCCCACCCCAGAGGCAGGAGGCAGGGAGCTGCCCAGATACCCCGGGCTGCTCCTGGCCTCAGAACCACCCTGAGGAGCAGCCCCTCTCCCCAACCCTGCAGCCCACTTCCCCCAGCCCTGGGGCTGGGGCTGCCACCATTTGGGTCCAGAAGACTGAAGTTCAGAGGGTGTAAGCCAACCAGTGTCTGCACCCCCAGGGTGGGCTCTCACCCCAGCCTGGCCCCTCCACCTCCCATCCCCCAGCCAGAATTAGGGACAGAACCCAGCCCACCTCAACTGTCCCTACCCTACCCCCCACCCTACGCCCAGGCCTCACCCCACCCTCACACATGGCCACTAGATGCCTTTCCGGAAAGTAAACATAAGTGTCAGGTTCCCACACACTCAGCTCACCCACTCCCTGACCCATCAGAGACAGAGGCTCCCACGCCCACACCCCGAGCTCAGCCAGGGAAGGGCGGCAGTGAGCAGAGCCTGTCCCCGTGGAGGTGGGGCTGCGGCAAGAGTGTCCCAGACAGTAGGGAATGTCCTGGTTCCTCCGCACACCCCCAGGGAGGACACTCACGCTCCCTCTCCTCACAAGGGCTACAGGATCCTGCCCCTCCCACCAAGGTGTTCCCAGCTCCCTTCTGTCCATCAAAGGCCCTTTCGAAAAACAACTCGACCACACACCCAATCCAGAAGGTTCCAGGCTGCCAGGGACGGGGGTCCCGCCAGGAAAAGCACACAGCCCTGCCCACCGCGACCGCTGCACCTCTTTAAGTGGTGTAATAAACATCCTTCTACGTTTTTTAAAACGTAGAACCCAATTTCTCCACCTCACTTTCATCTGTACTCTCTCTTACCAATTAACACACTCACCGGAAGATGTCCACGTATCACACCGCCCTCAGCCCCCTCCCGAAGCACTGTCCCCACCCCGCGTCCTCACCGTGCTTCCCCGAGGACGGCCGGCCGGCGCGACCTTCCTCGCCCTGCCTGCTCCCACCACGGCCGCCGGGGAGAAGCGGCAGCCCGCGCACCCGCGACCCCCAGGCCCACGTCGAGACGCGGACTTCCAGCGCGAGACCCCGGCCCCCGGACACACTCCAGGGCCGGACTTCCGGCGGGAGACCCCGGCCCCACCTCCCCGCGGCGTGACCCAGGGCTGAT